GCTTTTGGCACAAGCCTAGCAACGACTGCACTGAACAGTTCAAGAGCAACATCAAATTCAACTTTCTTGATTCGCTCTTTGACCAACTCGCGCAATTGCGGGCGATGCGGCTCCTTTGATGACTTGTCCCGTTCCGGAAGAACGGACATCGCAGGCGCGTGCCGGATCACAGGCAATGTCGGCTCGCCCTCGCGGGCGGCGCTGGTCGGCTTTGCACTCGATGCGGCTTCGGGGTGCTCGGATCTGGCCTCCGATGAGACTGCTGTCTCGAGCACAGCCTTCTTGGCATCTGCACGGAGCTGATCTTCATACTGCTGGGTTAGGGCCTTTCGGTCCTGGCTGCCGAGCATGACCCACATGTCGGACGGGATATCGGGAGGCCTTTTGGATCCAGCCTTCCTACGGACGAGCCGAACCCCATCCCACACATAGCCATCGGGTACTGGTGACCCATCAGGCATTATGCTTGGGTCGAATGCACCGCCTTTGTCAGGCACGACAGGCTTGGTCTTCGCTTCGGATTTCTCCGATGCGGCGGGTTCCTCGATGTGTGCTTGCCCACGCTCCAACGGCACAGGATCATCTCGTGTCCTAGCATTGGCAACAGGTGGATGAGATGCAGGGTCTTTCAACAACCTCATCGGGAAGATGAACTCATCAGTCGGAAGCTCAATGCGCTTTGTTCGCTGTACCGTGAGGGACGCATGTTCGATATGGTAATCGAGCCCTTCTAGTTTTGCAACAAGGAACTCGCCTTTCCATGCGAACCCAGGCTGAATGTGGTACCCGAGAAACACGCCTTCATTCGATGTTGGCGAAGTCTTGCCTGCCTGATTGTCAGCTCGTGCAGGGTTGTTCCAGAACAGTACCTTTGCTCCGAAAGGTATCTCAGCTTCATCAAAGGTCTTGTGAAACCTGAGGTGCCATGGCGAATCGTTTCCGTTCAACTGTGGCAGGATGTTAGTCGCAACTGCATTGTGCTGGATGGCAAATGGCCACATCGACAGTGGGAACCCTGACTGAACAAGGTTCGCACGTGCTCCCTCCAACAGATGCCTGATTTCCCTTTCCACGAAAGATTTGGAAGAATCAACATATTCAATGGAGGTCTGATGACGGTACCCCAACTGCTCTATTGCGGCTTTCAGTTCCCGGGAGTTATCGGTGTAGAGAACTTCAACCTCATCCCTACCGGAAATGAAATGCTGGATCCCTGCAACGGATTGCTCCGTGCTTTTGCTGGTCGATGGATAAACGTACCTGAACTGCGTACGCACGTCCTTGATCACAAGAGCACACCATTCACCTTTGATACCTTGCTCGATGTTGGCCTTGAGGATCACATGATCGGCAATGATGTGATCTCCAAATGCTTTCGTCTCGAGCCTTCCCTGCCCGCCCTTCGATCTTGCATATGGGGCAAGCATCTTGGCACGTTGGCAAGTGCGGCAAAAGGGATTCTTCGGATAGTGTGCAAACAAGTGCTCTTTGGTACTCGCTTCGGCAATCAGATCTTGCTCTTTGCGGGATCTAACAAACCGCTCAACTTCGTCGTCGGGATCATCACCTTCGTCGATGCCTTCGTCATGAACCGGTGCAGGCGCTGGCTTGGATGCTGCTACTGCACTCAACGAGTGCTCAGCTTCACAGCTAGAATCCATGTATGGCACATGACCATCAACCTTGAGCTGGATCAGAGCACCATCAGGGCGAACCATGGTTGGCGCCTTCCCGGATTCCCAATGGAAGGAATATCCTTGGTCCAGACACTTCACACCCAGCGACAGCACTGCGGGAGAACTCTCGAGGATGTAAGGCTGAGCAGGCTCACACAATGCATCGACATTGATGTCGGCGATTTCGGAAGCAGTGATGTTTCCGTTTGCAGTCACAAGGCGAATAGGCTGAGGTGCCTGTTTCCGAATTGCCTTGGACGCATTCCTCAGTGCAGCTTTGCTGATGAGGTCCTGCTCACTACCGGAATCAATAAGCCACACATCCTTTCCCTTTGGTGCAGGGGTGGCTGCCCTTGGCGCTTCGGCATCCTTGCGAACATCGTGAGGCGGCATGGCAATTCTCAGGCACTCATCACACGATAGGCTTGAGATGGAACCGGATTCCACATCGCACATGAAACCACAAGCGGGCTGGGCTCCATTCTCAATGGCTTTGATTACGGCATTCAACTGGTTCGCGGCCTTGCGTGCTGCCTTGTTCGTCCCTTTGGTCGGCCTGGGGCAGTCCTTGGCATTTGGAAACATCCTGTTATACTGCCGTTCCTCGTACTCAAGCTTGAAACCATCGCCTTCGGCGGGGATCTCATGCACATGAGCATTGGTGTCAAACGACACCCCAAACGGATTGATCGGTTTGGCAAACATGGCGTACCTAGTGCGTACTGCGGCGGCCTTGGCCTTGGGCTTAGGCTTAGGCGAATTTGCACGCTTCTTGGCCGCAGGAGTTGCGTTGGCCTCGTTGCTCGATGCCGCGGCGGCAGATTTGCCGCCCGTGGAGGCATGGCTAAACTTGCACTTGTCACCTCTAGTGCACTTCCCTTGGGCAAAGAAAGAGCACGGTGCTTTCTCTCCTTTACTGCCTTTGGGGGAACTTGGCCTGCCACGGGTCGCGGAGCGTCCTCGCGGCTCCTTGCGGTGCGCGTAAGGGCAGTTTGCCCCCCTCGTGCACGAGCCCTTTTGGAAATCAAAGCAGTACTTTTCCTCGGTGTCCTTCGGCTTAGGTGCGCTCTTTTTCTTGGGGTCCCTCTTTTCAGGGGCGGCGGCACCAGCCTTGGGCGTCGGGGCTTTACTGGCATTGACTTTGGACACGCGCTCTCGGTTCTCGCGAAGCCTATCCCTCTCGATTAGATCCCTCATGCAACGCATTAGGAAATCGTACGATTTGTTGGGATCATCATCACGGCAACGATCATATGTGTCGATGTCGTACCGCAACAGATGGCAGCTTCTCACTTGGCGAAGCAAGATGTCTTTCAACACCTTTTCTTCCGGCGGCCTTTTCATGCCGGCGATCACGGAATCCCAAGCGTTTAGGAAACGTTTGAGATCAATGATTCCTTCGCCGTGTCGCGAGAAACGCAACAGGTCCTCCAAGGAGTAGAGGTTTCCGGCTTCTTCACTGGTCTTGAAATATTGGCCAAGCCTCGTCTGGACGGTCAGATGCAGCGCGGACGTCCTCACGAACCGATGTCTTCCATTCACGGTACGTTTCAGGAGTTGGCATCTCCTTGAATCGCAACGTCTCGCTTTCGCGGGTTCTGGGCTTTTCATCGTTCGTGTGGCCTTTTACTAACTTCATCAACATTTTGGCGAATGCTTCTTGGCCGAGGTTAGGCCCGAGGCCATCACCTTCGTCTTCATCACCATCGCCATCGCCATCATCATCAGGTGGCGGACCGCCGGGAGGCTTACCACCCTGCTTGCGGTCAGTTGACATTGGCCCCTGAGAGGATTGCAGGGGTGGGACCGGTGCACTTGTTTTCACCGGGGATCGGCTGCTACCTGATGGCTTTTCAGCTGGTCCTTGCGGATCGCGAGCATCTGCGGGCAGTGCTTCGCATTCGGCAGTTGGAATCACGCTAGGGGTATATTCATCCCCGTAACCGTCATAGGTAACAAGCGACCTCAACTTTTCCTTTGCATATTGAAATGGATGGGTCAACGGGTCCAACATTGACCTTTGGGACCGAGCTGACTTCATGTCGTCGGTCATCAACTCTGGTGAATCCTCTCGGGTATCACCTACCCCTTTGGGCTTCGATCCATCCTCGCGGAGGTCGTGTTGCTTCTGATACCTCTTCAGCTCATCGAGCTCATCCTGCAGAAGCCCGTTTTGGTGGGCCATCATGTCAATCGTCCTGGCGTTTTTCGCTTCAACACGGGCTGTGTCATCGGCGTGCTTGGCAGCTTGCTCATGAAGGAGCTGCTGGGCTTCCGCCAGGGTGGATTCGATGGCTTGCCTAAACTCAGTTGTTTTGTGTCCCATTTCCGCTTCATGCAATGCTTGGGCATTTTCCTCACACACTTGGCTTATCCTAGCTTCAGCGAAGTTCACTTCTTGAATGAACTCATCGCTCACTCGCTGTTCGTATTCACGAATTCTATGCGACTGGGCTTGCACACATTCAGCGTAGTGTGCATGCAGCTGATTCTGTGCGACACGGAGCTCCTCACGGTTTTCCGCTTGCAAATGCGTGACAGCTGCTTGATGCAGGGCTTCGGCTTCAGACCTAATGGCTGCATCATTCCCAAAAGCAAAGATTGCGGTATTGTACAGTTGAAGGGAATTCATCAGGGTGCGGTTGTACTGCGCATTAGCGCTTGATGCGAACATTCGCACACCGCCGCCGGTGGCGTTGTCGGAGCTAGCTCCGGCAGCATCCACAGGCATGTTGGATCCATCAACTGGCACAAGGGAACCGTCCATTGCTTAGAGCTAGGGGCCTACGGCTGATAACCTATAGATTCAAGGGTTACCGGTTTGGGGCCCAAAAGGAAACAACAAACCGTCCAAGTGCGCTGCTCGCACATTTTCACGCTTGAACAGCCACACTGCGGATGCAATGGATGTAAAACCCCATACTGACCGATCAAATTCTTCAAAAAGGAATCAGCCTGGGACCTTTTTGCCTAACCTTTTGTGGAAGTAAACATGAACAACAGTCCAAAAATCGATTTGCTTGCACCTGAATGAACACGGCGCAATCCTCACTGCCGGGTTGTAGAGCCCCAGCAAGGCCTGAGTAATGAACAGTGCCATCTCCTCACCTCTCTTTGCATAAAGGCCATCACATTAATTCATCTGGGATCCAAATAGCCCCCCTTGTAGACCCGTTGAAACCCCCTTGAAACCAATCCCGTGTCTCCATACCTATTCTGTCCCAGATCGAACTCTCGCCCCCGAAAACTACAAACCCCGGGCCACCCCCCCAACACCACCTCACTAGAGATCCACCCCCCCCCCCCCGGTTGCCTTCGAGCGACTGAAGCTCACTACATCTGGCGCCAGCATTGCAGAGGGCATCGAGCTCAAGATCTCCACAGACGCCTCCGGAAGAAGACGACACCCCCAAAAAGGAGATGACGCGCCTTCGACGCCACCAAACGTTGAACCGCGGGTACAACAAACATCCAGCTGGTGAAGCTAGGGCTTGAGGTTTTTCGAACGCGAAAGGCAAATTGGCTGTCAAAGAAAGCGAATCGAATGATGAAAGGACATTAGCTACCCTTCCTCCCACTAACATAGCATTTGTGAGCGGGTACCTGGAAGACAAATTTCCTGAACAAGGTGCCCTGTGGGAGGAGGGTCAATGATGGGCAAGCAGTGAGTCATGAGAGGGTGCACAAATCCCTCGCTGAAAGTGATTCATTTGAGTGGGTTAAATGCAAACCCCCACCAAACAATAAACGGCTAAAAAGCTAAGGAACCTGATGGCTGGGAGCCGCCAAGAAACCACGTTGAAGTTTTGTTGCGCCAGCATGCTAAGCTTTCTAGCAGCCTTACAACTATCACACTTCAAGCAGTCAACAGGGCTCTTGGACTGTTTCTTTGGAACACGTTCGCGCCAAGGATGAACTCAGCATTGCCCCAATTTGCCCAAGCTCAAAACACCCAAACAGGTACATCAAAGAGCCCGCTGCATGTTCCGTTCAGGGGTCAGTTCCCGCGATCTTGCTCCATGAAAGGTTCGTACGGCCCCAACCGAACGCGCCCAAAACCTATTGACTGTTGGTTCAAAAGGCCAAATCATAACATGTACGAAGCCGGGTAGAAACCGAACCACCTAAAAATTGCCTTGTTGGGCCTCGAGCTTCTTTTGGCGATGGCGAAAGAGGGTCGTTCAGCTGGCCGGGGCACGACGACGACAAAAACGGCGCCTCCCACCGCCCCACGCAGGCGAAAATGGCGCCTCAGCCGAGTCGGCAAAGGTGGGGCTGTTCCAGGCCGACAGTTAAGGCCACTTCTTAGATCTAGGTCCTCCGGTAGAGAGGTTAGAATAAGGGTACAAACTTTCTTTTCTGTAGTCTATTTGAGTAACCAAAAAAACAAATGGGTAAAAGGGCACCTAGCTGGGGGACCTAGTCTTAGATGCTTCGTTTGAGGGGCTTCCCTCGCGGATGATTTGCTGGAGCTCGGTTTGGATATGTTTGGATGCAATTTTGCATGCACACCTGAGACCTGGGCTGTCCGTTTTCAGACCCCACGCTAAAAGTGAATCACTTCTAGTGGGTTAAATGCAAACCCAACCACTAAACTCTAACAGGCTACCCTTTGTCCACCAATCATGGAAGTGGACAAAGGGGTTGCCCAAAAGGAAAATCGTCTTCCAAAACCCTCCTGTCAGCTTCCATGATTGTTGGAGGGAGGCCCAAAAGCTAAGGGGATGGCTGTGAGCCAAGAGACTTGATGCTTTGGCCTGAGGGAGCTCAAGGGAAGCCAACAAAACATGCCGCTCGACTTTGGGAAGGCCATGCCGCTTGCTCCAGGATCTACTCGAAATTCAGGGACCCCCCTCGTCCAAACATGGTAAGCCCTAAGGGTCAGGCTCTCAATAAGCCTTCATCATGCAACACATCCATTGGTTGAGCCTCAAAGCACCTAGAAGAAGAAGGGTTACCCTCTAACACCAAGGGTTCAAATTTCAAACCACCAATCCAAACCACCTTTTGTAGAGGAAGCTGATATGCTGGTGTGCCATGAGAATTAATCGTGGGAAGCTCAAGCTCCCGGAACTTAGCTAAGCCAACTCCCAGCCAGCGCATGTTGTGCCGCGCTATTTCGACCCATTCCTTCGAAAACAAGTCGCATGTTCACGGAGGCACGGATTGCACTCTCGAAATGGAAACTCTGAATTTCCGGCTGGTGACTATTTGGGAACACAAGTCCTGAACAACAAGCCAACAAGCCAAAAGCTAAAGAAACTCCCCCCCCACCAAATTCAAACAAATACCCCTCCGTTCCAAAAGGGGTCCTTGAACCTCCAGACTTCCTCGTTTTAGGTCGGATCGCGCCCCATCGCATCGATATCGAAGGCACTATTGTAGGCCACCAAATTGGCCGCCACGTGCACCTTGCGGCGCGCGGAGTCGCCGCGTGCTGGGGTTGTCAGCAGAAAATGAACTCAGTTGCCCCGCTTGGACCCAGGACCAAACTGGGCTATCGATTTTCAGATTCCCGGCTAAAAGTGACTAACTTTTAGTGGGTTGCTGTCAAATCCAACCACTAAACACTAAAAGGCTAAAAAGCCGAGGAACCGGATGGCTGGGAGCCTCCAAGCAAACATGGTTGCCAAATCAGGGAAACCAACAGCTCATTTCAGGTCGACTCGCTTGGGGCAAGTGAAGTGAAACTGGGGTACTACAGCACACCTCCCTACAACAAATGCCAGGTCCTCCAGTAGAGAGGTTAGAATAAGGGTACCCTTTTTCTGCAGTCTATTTTAGTAGGGGAACCCTCCCCCAAAAACAGAGTAAACGGGCACTACTGGGGCACCTAGTTGGGGCACTACAGTACACTAGTTGTTGGGATATACAGTTCATTGAATGCCGACCCCATGCTACAACTTTGCAAGCTAATAGGGCTGCGCTTGCCTCAAAAGTGAAGGATTCCCCACTTCCTCGCCAAAAATCTCGGAACGTCTTATTTCCAACGCAGCTCAGTCGGGAATGTGGAAATGAACCCAGGGGCCCCCTTAAAGGAAACCACCCGTTGGATGGTTTACAGGACGCATTCCCAAAGCCGGGCTAGTACTCAAAAAAGATGCTGAAAAGTTGTCAGCAGGCCACCAACTCACCGTTGCCCAGTGACCGTGGTAGAAACGCAAAAGCACATAATCTCGGTGGCAAGTGGCAAACATGCAACTTTGGGGCCATGACTAAAAATGGACCAAGACAGGAGACGAAAAGGTCAAAAGGTCGATCCGCTTTAGGCAACTGAGGAATCCGTTGAACCAGCGGATACTCCTCCCAAAGAGGAACATGAAACGGCCATAGAAAAGCCTGGAATTCTTCCCCAGTTCTCGCCGACCCGAACAAAGTCTTGCCAGTGTCGGAGGCCAACGAAAAGACAACCTCCATTTGTTGAAGTACCCTGAACACATGAGAGCCTTCTTTCTCTCGGTTGCGAACTCTGCGAAGCCCTGCCAAAAGTGACTAACTTTTAGTGGTTCGATACGGAACACCAATTAAGGGGCAAAAAGCTAAAGTCCTAACATCCCTTGGCAAAGTTCAAAGTTTTGCAAGTGCCAGATTCCCTTCAAAACCAACAAGGGCAAACAAAGCATGTTCCTAAGCAAATTGAAGACATGAGGACACTCCTGTGGTCTTGCTGGAGTGGTAGATTAAAGGCAAACCACACATTACAGCTTCTGACCCATCAACGGAAATAGACCCTGTGTTTTGTGATGGCATTTTGCCAGGTTCCGATGGACTCCATCAAAACAGAACCAACATAACTTGATGGTGCTCAGCAGGGAATGAGAAATGTAATGACCCTATAAACCACCCAACTGGTGGTTTCCTTTAAGGTGACCCCCAGATTCATTCCCACATTCCCTGAGCATAGGTTTCCAGGGATCCTTCTCTCTAGAACACTTCCAGAAATGCAGGGGTAAAGCCAGGGGTTCAAATCCCCGAACCACCAATCCAAACCACCATCCCGTCCCACGTCCCACGTCCCACGTCCCAGCGCGGCCGCCTCCGGCATGAGCTCCAGAAAGACCAAGGCCTCCTGCCAGCGGCCTCGGGTTCCACAGCTCTTGATGGCAGAGCTGCAGCCGATGGCGTCCTGGGTGCATCAAACGGGATGGACCGCGCCAAACCACGTGCCCCTCAGGTACCCCTGGCATCCTGGAAAAGATGGCTATATACCATGTACCCCATAGTGTATTTAAGCTTCTGTGGTATTTTGCAGGGGCACCTACCCAGGGGTACATAGTTGGGACCTTGGAACTGAGTCATACTCAAACCCTACTGTGGATGGTTGCGAAATCCGCTTCTCGCACCACCTAAGAAGCCCTAGAATGATGATTCCCCTGTAAATACCAACCAACACCGGCTTCCCATTGTTTCAAGCTGGTGCAGGATTCCGTCCATCCACAGTAGTACTTGCATGGTCTATTGCTCACTTTCTTCCATTTGCGAAATTGTCCCCTGAAAAATGGGAACATGTGTCCCGTGTCATCGACTCCCCTGAAAACCAGCAAACACATATATAATAAAACAATACCAACGCTTTGGTTGGTTTATCCCTTTCGCCCGATTCGCCTCGCGCGTTTTCAGCAGGTTTGTGGGGCTCCAGGAAGCCAAAGCCAAGAGGTAGGTTGCGCCGCCTGGGGTAAACCCATGACGACAAACGCCTAGATTCACATGGACCCCGAAAAGCAATCGATTGCTTTAGAGATTCGGACCTTTTGGGATTCGATCTATTTGCACCAATGGCCCATGCCCAGAAAAAAGAAGAAAAAAAACGGACCCCCCCCCGTTCCCCAAGCACCAGCTCGCCCAGTGGGTTGCTTGCTGCTTGCCGGTCGCGCCCATTTTCCCCGCGATGTTCGGCCCCAAGGGCCGGCAGCACCGCGGCGGGCTGCATGGACTTCACCAGGCGCAGGGCCACCTCGAAGGCGTTCGCCTCCAGGCAACCGTTCACCGCCTGGGAGGGAAGCAAGCGGCTGGGCGGGCTGGGTTGGGGGGAGGGGAGGGGCGTGGGGGAGGGGTGGGGTGTTGGGGGGGGGGGTGGGGGGGAAGGAGGGGGGAAGGGGAGGAGGGGGGAAGGGGAGGAGGGGGGAAGGGGAGGGGGGGGAAAGGGAGGGGGGGGCTGTTGCACTTCATCACCCTGCCTTCTGGCAATTCAAAGGAACCTTCCAGGTGTCCCCCCGCGTCCCGCGTGGACACTCGGGGCACTGTTTAGCAAGCATGCTGCTTCTTAAAGGCTGCGCCTCCAAAATAGACAGGTGTCAACATAACACGCCTAGCCACTAGCCCTCCCTCCCTCGCCCACTGGACTGCACCCCTGAGCCCAGCGCCCAGGTGTAGGAAATCACATTCTGCTGCACCGTCGCCTGAAGCGCCAAGAGGTTGTGACTCGTGGTGCTCTCAGTTGCCCCGGATGGGACCTGGACATGCAAGGTGATCACCTTTCGGAACCACAAAAAATACGAATCCACCACCTGGTTTGAGCCAAACAAGGCCATGTCAGGTCGACTTTCGATTTCTTTTTTGCGACCAAGTGCTGATCGCCACGGCGAGTTTAGAATGGCCCACATGAGCTCTAAGAGTTGGAACCGCTCACCCGATCCCGAATTCTTCACCACAGGGTCAAACAAATACCATCCCCCCCGGGCCCCTTGATTTCGGCTAAAAAAAAGGTCCCAAAAGTCCACGACATCGTCCCGAACCAGTGCTTCACATCATCAAATTTATGGGGTGTGTCAAATAGTTTGGACCTGCTTGTATAATGGGTGCTTTTCTATTTTGTTGTTGCTTTCCCTTAAAACCACCCGCCCCGCAAAAACAAATACAATCCCATTTAGCGCACGCATCCAAGCCAGCCCTCCTCCCCCACTCGCACCTCAGCCATCGACGCCAGCAGCGCGACCGCTGCCTGCCACCTGAGATTCTTGGCGCTTAAAAGGTGCGTCCGAAGGCCGCCGGGGGATTTTCCCCTCTTGGTTGACGTTGGGTTTGGGGAGCAAGAATTCTCAAATTTTAGCAGTTCAGTGGTTGGATTTCAACCACTAAACCACAACAAGCAAAAATGGGGAAACAATGTCAAACCCAACGACAACCATGGAGCTTGGTTCTCCAACTTCCAGGGGTCCAACCACTCAGTGGCCCCGGTCGGACCTGGACATTTTCAACACCGCGACCACCTTTCGGGACCAAAACACGACCGGTGCAACCGGTTTAACATCTGAGACAAGGGAGGGCTTCGTTCGTCCAACAGGCACCTCAAAAAGACATGTCTGGTCGGAACGAGGGTTGCTCCAAGCCTCCCCCCCCCCGGAGAGGGCTAAAAGGTCGTGATCAACCTTAGGTTTTACTTTAGGCGTTGATTCCATTTCCATTCCTTGCCTCCATCCTTTTTTGATCAAAAGCCGGAGCCTTCTTCCCTGGGTTTCCGCATGTTTTCTAGAAAGAAGGATCCCAGGAAAGAATGGGGAAGGTACCGAGGTTTTATGAAATAGCCGGTTGTTTCCAAAACATATTTTTGTTGATCCTCCACGTCAATGCTGGGATTTTGAATGTCACCCCACCAAACTAAATCACCCCTCCCCCACTTCCATGTGTAAGGGGGTTGGGGATGGGAAGTTGCTCATTGCACTAAACAGAAGAAAGCAGGGGGTGTGGATTCCCAAACTAATTCCGTGAAAGCCCCTAGGAAACTCGACTTTTTGGGGACCTTGGCTAAACATGGACCAACATGGACAACTAAAGGTCAATTCAATCCGGTTGATCCGGTTGAGAACGACTAAGAATACTGCGGGCGGACCAAATCCAGCACCAATTTGAAACCACGGAAACTACAACATTTGTTGGGGAATCGAATCATTCCAGGGTTTCTGAACCGTGGTGCGAAACGGACTTTGTCCATCCACGGTAGTTTCCCTATCAAGCCAACAGGGAAATAGCAACCATGTTTTCTCAAATTGGCTTCACAGGGTTTCTTAGGTGGTGCGAAATGGGTTTTGTCTCTCCACTGTGTGCGTCATAAACTAGGTCCTGCAGTAGAGAGGTTAGAATAAGGGTACCAACTTTTTCCTGTAGTCGATTTTAGTAGGGGAACCCTCCCAACCAAAAAAAAAATGGGTAAAAGGGCACCAATTTGCTGGGGAACCTAGTTTCAGGCGCAGTCCGAATCATTCCTTGGTTGACGTTGGGTTAGGGGAGCAAAAATTCTCAAATTTTAGCAGTTCAGTGGTTGGATTTTCACCACTAAACCACAAACAAATGCAAAATCGGGAAAAATGTCAAACCCAACGACAACCATGGAGCTTGGTTCTCCAACTTCCAGGGGTCCAACCACTCAGTGGCCCCGGTCGGACCTGGACATTTTCAACACCGCGACCACCTTTCGGGACCAACGCACGACCGGTGCAACTGGAGTCAAACCAAGCCCAGTTTGTTCGTAACCACGGCTGGCTATTTTAGTCTATTTTAGTAGGGGCTTCCCCTCCCAACCCAAAAAACCACGGGCAAAAAGTGGCACCAAATTCGCTGGGGGACCTAGGACACGGCGCCCGAATCCTGGCTCGGGGATCCACGGGCTTCGAATCCTCATCCGTGGCGCTGGTTGCACCTCTGGCACGCCCCAATGGCGGTGTTGTAGCCCCAGGGCTCAGGCGTCACCTAACGACTGGCGCTTGACCCAGTCCTTGCCTAAAGGACCTGGTCATATCTCAAAATTCCTGGCATTTTTCCATCATCCAAAATGTCAAGAATTCTCAGTTGCCCGGGGGACCATTCTCAGCCCGTTGGGGGACCCAGACATCAAGGTGATCACCTTTTGAGACTTTTGCTAGAAGTGGTGGCCGAAAGGGGAAGCCAATTGCAACACATCAGTTCAGGTCGATTCGCTTCGGACAAGTGAGAGTCAAACGCCCCTGGAATAATTAGTGGAAAAGCCCCCAAAGTCATTCAATTCCCTTAAAGCACGCATTTCCTGGGAAAACAATGGCAGTCCAAAAACATTCCCATGAAAGCAAATGGATTATGGATCTCTCAAACCAATTGCTTCAAACAAGTATCTCTATAGACCACGGGCTCTGCGTGGTTGCTTGTAATATGTGGGTCTCTTCTTTTTCTGGGGGTACTCGTTCAAAGGGAAACCAAAGGACACCCGAAGCCATTTTTGGGGGTCACCTTAAAAAGCACGCACGCCCATGTGTTGCTTTTGCACGCTTTCTCTTGGTTCCATGGCGCAACAATCATGCGCATGGGCCCTACCGAGCTTCCAACAGCTCACCTGGGCACGCTTCAAACAACTTCCTGACGGTTTCTCTTCAATGCGGAGGGCCACTCCTCAATGTTTGTCTTGTTCTGATGAAAACGTCACCTTGTTGCCGATGTTAGGCTCAGTCTCTTCCGGTTGGCCCAAACAAATTACTATAACCCCGGTTAAAACAGGATTGAACCGACCTAAAATGGCCCTATATTGGGACTCGGTGAAACGGGCATGAAAACCCCGTTTTTCCCGCTCGCACTCTGTGCACAAACTCACTTGCCCAAAGGACCCAGAAATAAAACCTCAACCCTTTGGAATCAAAGCTCAAAGTAAACCAACATGGGGAAACGAAAAGGTTCAACGGTCGGCTTTGGACTGAGTAAGCTTAACCTCCTTGTCTCACTTCCTGAGCGGATGGCTACAAAAAGGCCAAACTGGTTGCTTACCACTAAAATGGCAACCAACCGCCAGAAGTTTTAAAGTCCATGAACTCAGGGAGTGCGTTATTGGTATCGCAAAACTGGGCTGCCCCAGATCCTCCGCTAAGGAAACTACCACTAAACACTAAACAGATCTACAGAAAAAAAGCCCAAGACTCCATGCGGCCGCGCCTGCGCTGACATCTGCGCCAAGACATGGACGCCTTGCTGCCACTCCCGTGACTTGGCGCAGGCGTGGATCACGGAGTGCCATTGCTGCACCTAAGGTCCCAAAAAACAGCCGAAGCTATCAGGGTAAGCCTCCAGTTGCTTTTTCGCCTCTTCGGGGGGAAAACAAAAACATAAAGTATGCCCGGTAGTGAAATCTGTCCTTCAAAGCCAATGCAGGGGAAATCAAACATATTCTTAAGCAAATGAAGTAATTGGTGTATACTTACCGTTGTATCGTGGCTATAAGTGGCTATATATCCCCTGAACCCCCTGGTGGTGGTTTGGGGATAGTGGAAACTTAAATGGATCTTACCATTTGTTTCAACTGACTTGCTGAGTTAATTTGAATTCCAGGAAATCAGGGAGCGAGAGAACCATGGAAGCCCGGAAAGGGTTGATTCACCATTGTCTTCGCCCACCGTCCTCTTCAGCAACTGCTCAGCTTGTTCCTTTCCCCTGGTTGGGGTGATTCCCAAACTGGCAAACTGTTCGCTAAGAACCAGCAAGAACATTGTTAACCAATAGTCAAAGGACCCACCCTCTCGCTCCCACACCCCTTTTCCTGGTCACTACATTTCGGTGTGTCTTAAAATATACCCCCAAAATGGGCTTGGGTGTTCGCTTTTTGGTTTCCTTCAAGACTGAACCCCTTCTCGGGGTTCGAGCCACCCATTTCCTACTGCAACATTTGAAGGGGGAACCGCGCCTCTTGAATGCCCGCTGCGTGTGATCCTTCCGGAAAACGAACAGCTATGAGACAGGTCCGGGTGCCCCCTGTAGCGTCGAGCAGAGTTCCTCTCTTTCAGGCGTCACCCTGGAAGTGTTTCACTTGAGTGGATTCCCCACAAAAAGTCCACACTCCTTATTTACCACTAACATGATCTTCCCAAATGGCTTAAAGTACATGAACTTGGGGAGTGAGGAACACGCACTCAACATGGGAGATGTGCTGAAACCTTCAAAGAAACATGAAACCACTGCTTAACACATGTTCAAAACTGAAAAATGGCCAATCCTTCCACTCAAAGGCTGCAATTCAACCCCCCAAAAACCCAATACACGGTCGCAAAACACTCTCCAAGTGCCCACCCCTGCGGGTTTATGTCATGGCGCGGGGATCTCAGCGCCTTCTTCGCGTAAGAGCTCCAGCAGCTGCCTTTCAACTCTCGACCTCTTGTTTGGGAGGTTATGTGGCTTCGCACTTACCTGCTACAAGAACCAGGGACCCATTCAAATCCAAGTCCAAAACGCCAATCCACACCACCAGTCTTTGAACCCAAGCAGTTCAAGCTCATTCCTTACGTGATGGAAGTGGCCTACAAGTACCTGACTGGAATCTCCCCAAGCTTTTGGAGGGACACATAGATAGCCCGTGAGCTCATTCTATGCGCTCGTCTACGCAAAACAGCTATGCCATATGCCATATGCATGCTGGCGAACTGTCAGCTAGTTGCAGGGATGGTTGTGGATGTTCGCAAAATGACACCCCAAGCAGCAAAGTTCAGACATGGGTGTGTCGGTTTTTTAGGGGACCCGCCTGAATTGTGGTTTTCGCTTGGTTTCCATATGTAGAAGCAACCAAAAAGGGGCGCCCCAAAAAATGACAGACCCACATACACACTAATGATCATATGGGGAACATTCTGCAGAGTGGCAGCACTACTCAAACCATGTGGGACTCTCCCTACCTCTGAGGATGCGTGATTCCCGCAGAAAAGCATTGCCCCTCTCAATGTGCACGAGCCAAGCTACCCCCCCAGAAATGCAAAGCTTAACGCAGCTTGGGACGAAGTGAGCAACCAAATGTCTCAGAAGAGCACAAGCTCGGCTAGGGACGCGAAGCGGGGTGACCCCCAGGTCCCGCAACTGAGCATTTCAGATCATTCTTCCATGGAAGAGCTTGTCCAACAACGTTCCCCCGTATCGTCAAGAATCATCCCACAATCGGCAACCAAAGTTGATATTTGAGCTACACAAACAGAGAAGTGGAAGGTCTGGCCCTAGCTAAAGGCTAAAGGAAACCTTAAATAAAAGCAAGACAAAAAATACCGTTTATCCTTACAATACATCCAAGGCCGAACAATTCCAGAGAGGCCTGAAGAGAGCGTCAAGCATACAATGTAAACAAGGGCCTCTGAGAAAGTAAATTGGGTTTGTCTTTCTTTAAGGGCTCCCTCCCCAACGGCGTCGGTGTTCCTTTTGAACACCTCCAGAAGCCCAGGGGAAACGGCCAGATGTTCAAAGAACGAGGGCTGAAAAGAATGGACAAGGAATCAACCCCTAGAATGGACAAGGATAACCTCAGGCAAGGCTCAACCTGTCGGAACTCTGCAAAGGCTCGAGTACAGATTAACATGGAACCCTGAGACAAAGGGGTTCCCGAAAAGAAGCAAAAAAAAGAAAAAAACAACACCCAAGAAGGGAACAATGGAAAAAACAAGGGAAAAAGAAGGACAAAAACAAAACAAATCAAAAAACGGCCAAGCAAGAAAAACAAGGGCGGCTCGACGCTCGTCCGGCCTGGCAGCCCGCCCACGGCGCGCCTGCAGACAGTCCGCTGCGTTTTGGTAAGGAAAAAACAAGGGCGACCGGGGATTGGGAGTTGAACGTCCAACATGCATTCCGATGGGTACATGGCTTCATACAATCAGCCTTTCCCCATTGGCTCTAAGGGCCAACTTACATACCCCAAATGGACATACCCCACCTGTAGGCCTTTGTAGGGATGAATTGTAGGGGCATGCCTTCTTTTAACCCATGCATAACCGGGTATGTCCACGTGGGGTTTGCAAGTTGGCTCGTGGATTGGCTCCATACAGTCGTGGCTTTCTTTCAGATAGAAAGGCAGCCTGCAGGACTCTGCCATAATCCAACTTCTTGTCTTGCATTGCTCTTCACACTCGTCTGTCTCTGTTTGCAGCCGGCACTGGGCTCAAGCTCCCTGGCAATTGCCTGGCTTTTGCATGTGCAAAGCCTGCCCGGCCGCACGATCGTATAGCGGGCACTTGGCTTGCCTTGCTTCCGGAATTGATCTCATGCACCTGCTGAAGCCCCTGGAAACAAATATATTGCCAATGTGAGTAGGGAAATCGATCCCTATTAAAACCAACAGGGGAACATAATAACATATTCCTAAGAAAATGGAAGCATGGTGCTGTATTATAAGGTAAGTTCTGACGCATGACTCGGCTTTGCAGGCGACCAATGGGTGCCCATGGCACTCAGACCTCCCACCAGCCATGAAACAAGGCTCTCGACATATTTCCCTGAATATCACACCACCAGGATCCAACAAGGGGTATATACCGTATAGGCCTCTATATTCTCTACAGCCCCATATCCCATGATATGAATCAACCCCCGTTTATCAATAATAGAGGGGTGTTCCCCTCCGATTAGTGGCGAATCAGGGAACAATCCCCCTTCCTAATTCATAAACTGGGGGGTTGATTCATACTGTGGATGGATGATATCTTGCACCTCGTGACAAACCCGGGCATCCTGATTCCCTTGTGAATACCAACCAACAATCGTTTTTCATCCACGGTATGAGATCAACATTAGGGAGCCCACCTGACACCCCCTCCAAAACGGCCCAGCAATCGACCCCGGGGGAGCCTGCGCGAGTTCCTTCAGCACCTGTGAGGCATCGCGGCCCTTGAGCAGCTGCTGGGAGCCTCGGGTTCGGCAACGCGACAGGAGCAATACTGTGGATGGTTATCCATCGAAAATAATTTGTTGTTGGTATTTACAGTGGAATCATGATTGGGTTTCTTAGCCGGTGCGAAATGGATTTCGTCCATCCACAGTAGGTGTCCTTCTTGGAAAATAGATGGCCCTGGCAGATGAGAAAGAACCACCAGGCCAACCAGGGCCTTCTATTTTTCAAGCAAACCAACCAAAAAAAGGAAACCTATAAGCAAAGCGGGTGAAGCAGCGTCAGCGTCACGGATTTGCCTCGTTTCCTGCATGGAGTGGCCCAAAAAAACGGACCCCCCCCCCCCACGTTGGGGTGAGCTCACCTCCGAGCGAGTGGATTGGATCCCAAAAAAGTAACTAAACTGTTGATTTCTCACTAGAATGGTCCAACCCTCAACTGTGTTTAAAGTCCAGGAACTCAGGAATTGAGTTTTGGGGGCCCTTTATCATGGGTTAGCTTGTGTTCTACCCCCGCCTGCCAAAATATTTTCCTTTTTTTTTTCAAGAGAGTACAACCATTGTAGAGCCAACCGCAGAAGTTGATGTTCCCATTTATCAACTCAAGGGCAAGTACCTGCGATATTTTAAAAACCACCTCTGCAGCTGACCACAATCAAACCCCAAAGCTGGCCCGCACCCTCCCACGGCCGTGCCTAGCCCAGCACTGCTCCGAGTGGGCGGTTGAGGCGCCATTGCGAGGCATGGCGTTGATGCCACAACAGCGAATGTGTGGGAAGAAATGGCGTGTCTTTTGTTGGGCACGACCCTTCTTGGGGCTGGTTTAAAAGGAAACCAAAGGCAGACCACCCAGTTTGGCAAGTAGCAGGGCCAATATTTAGGGAGCACTAAGCAAACACATGTTTGCTTCAAATCGGCAGCTTGCCATGTGTCAGGGAGCAATGGGAGATAACCTGCGGCCAAGCTAGATTTGGCAAGGCGTCTGCGCCCGCATATCAACTGTCCAAACTACCAGTGCTATATGTCCACTTTGTGTTTTTGTTGCGATTTGCCTGTTGATGAAAACAGCAGGCTCGACAGGAGACATGTCCGCACAGGTTTCTGCAAGTGTCCGGAGAAAAGTGCGTGTTTCTCACAGGATGGTGGTACATAACACGTTGGTCGCTTGAATCAAACGCAGCTGCTGTGACCATCAGGCAACGAAAGCCCTGCCACTTGTTGACCATTGGTAAACCAACAACCAAGCAGAACAGTACTCATACCAGTAGGGTTTTATCCATTCGGCTGCTTCAGGATGCGGTCCACCCACACTTGTTTGTAGCATTTCCTACAACAAAAAAAGGGATGAGTGTCTTGGTTCCAAACAATACTGTGGATGGGCGACATCCGGCACAACTTTGAAACAATGGGATACCATTGCCAGTTGGAAATCACAGGGGAATCAGCAGAAACCAGGGTCTCCGCGAAATGCATTTCGCAACCCTCCACAGTATCTCCCCAGTCATCCTGGTCGAACATCTGCGAACCCCTTTGAGCATTGCTCATTTGAAGCCAAGAAGCCACTGAGCAACTGAGATATATGGGCGGGTCCTTTAAAAAATAAATGTACCCTCCAAAAAAGGTGGTTTTGCAGCTGGTTTCCTCCCTAAAGCCAGAAACAAGTGTGGCCTCATCTTTTTTGCTGTCGACTCCTCTGCCAAAAGTTCTTTCTTTTTGCGGGTCCAATGGAAATTACCAGCAGAAAGGACCGGGCCTGCCCGTGAGTCGCTTGCCCGCGAGTCCTCAGTAAGCATCTGCCAAACGCCTTGCACATCTTGCCGAAAACTGGCGAGTCTTTTCCCATGGCTGTCCTTAAATCTTGGGTGCTGTAGATCCCCAGCAAAAAGCTTTCAACGTTTTGCTGGGCAAAAGGAGATATAGGGGAATCCAAAAAGTTAAAGTCTAAAGATCCAACCCAATAGCAGTGGAGAAATGGGCTCTTTGTTGACCCCGTGAGGCCCTGTTCAGACAAACAAAGGTCCGTATCAGCATTGAGGGCCCGCAGGGACAGTCGTACATGGGTGCGTCTTGTTTTCTCACTTGCTGAGTGGATGGCCCAAAAAAAGTCCAAACTTTATATTTGCCACTAAAATGGTCCAAACCCAAAAAGTTTAAAGTTCCTGAACTCAGGAAGTTAGTTTTAGAGAACCCCCGGAGAACAAAATGGCTTGGGGTGTCCTCTTGGCTTCCCCTTAGAACAAAAGACGAGCCGCCCACTTTCCAATGGTCGTCAAAGGTCCGGCAAGGGGGGGGTCCAACAAACAGTTTTGTGAGGCTTACTCGGCACTACAAAAGGCACGATGGGCTCATATTTGGGGGTGGGTGATGCCCTGAGGCTCCAAGATGCCCACAGAATATTACTAGGGAAACGGGCCAAAGGAAACCGCGTTGCTTGGCAACTTAACCCTTGTTCAGTAAATTTGCGCCACAGCAAGGCCCTTACAAGGCAAACCTTGTACTCAAGTCCGTATCCAGTGGTAAACTGTCAAGGTGGTTGTATCAGAGCTCTTTTCGATGCCTTTTTTGGAAGCTTCAAACGCGGGAAATTCAATGGAAAAACTGGTAAAATGATCAACGATAGAAATCCCTTCGTGACTCTGTGACCCCTGTACATTTGTCGACCAACTGTGATAGCTGTTTCAATTTTATCCAATGGACTCACTGAGAAAGAAAGCCTAAGACATGGTTCTGTGTGGCTCTCTTCCCCCGGTTTCCGTAAAAGCCGGCCAAAAATAGGGAGTTCCCCACACCAACGCGAACCACCTGGTGGTTTGCTCGCAATGGGTTTTCTGAACATCTAGAACGCCCTGAAATGCCGTGCATTCCTTTTCTGGCTACCCTTTCAACCCAACCAAAGCAGGGTCCCCTCCCCCCCCAAAAGCAAACAACAGCCCAACAAGGGTTCCCCCAAACAACACGGGGAACCAAAGCAAATGACTCTTTACAACCCCCGACTTCCAATGAGACCGAGGCAGAGAAAGTCAGCGGTGCGCTGGCGGGCAATCGCCTGGCCGCACGGGAGAACCATCGCCCGGAAAGGTTCTAAACGGGGCTGCCCGTTTTCAGATCCCCTGCTGAAAGTGATTCATTTGAGTGGGTTAAATGGAAACTACCACGAAACATTAAAAGGCTAAAAGGCTAAAAGGCTAAGGAACCGGATGGCTGGAAGCCACCAAGAACATGGGGTGTTGGGCAATCCCAATCCATCCTTGTTCGAAGACCACCCCAAAGGGCCCTTTCGCAACCCAAGAAAGGATTGCCTTTGGACCGCTCAGGAAACCCTTTAAGAAATCTATCACCTAAGCTAAGGTGCGTAAGCGGACACTTACAAAGTTGGAAACTTCCTGGCGATAAAACTCTTGGGTCTAAGGAGCAAGCTTGCGATGTTTTGCAATCGAGGGCTGCATCTTTTGGTGTCAACAAGTGAAAACCCAACGCAGCAGGCCAACGTCCTCACTCCCTCCTGAGTTGACTGGCCAAAAAAAGTCGAAACTTGTGTTCCCGCCATTTCCTTCTAAAAAGTATAAAGTCCATGAACTCAGGGAGTGAGCGTCTGGTCATGTTTGGTAGGAACAAGCCAGCACAAAAATATTGGAAGCCTCTTCGGAGAGCTGTCTTGCAGGCCAGCTGACGACGGTGGCAGCAAAATAGATGGATCTGGCAAATGGCTAGGACCAAGGGGAAACCTTCCATTTGCTGAAGCCCCCTGGAAACACAACATGTTTCCAGTATTCCCTTTAAAACCAAAAGGGACAAATACAAACCTATTCTTAAGCAACTGGAAGAAACCGGTGGAACATTTTTTCACACCAACCCACCCAAACAGGACGACACTCGTGCCCTTCCAAGGCCCCTTCGAAGGCTCTTCCGCCGGGCTTGGAGGGGCCCAGTCTGACACTATCTTTTCACCTGGGAGGGACAGCACCACTTGTTGCTTGACTCCATCCTAAGTCCTCCAGTAGAGAGGTTGGAATAAGTTAAGGGTACCAACTTTTTCCTTTTTTTGTCAATTTTAGTAGGGGAACCCTCCCAACCAAAAAAGGGGAAAAGGGCACTACTCGGGGACCTAGCCATTCAAACACTCACCTCTCCTCAAAAAACATCCGACCTGAACACCCAGCTTTGTTCAAAAAGGTTCCAGCGGAAAACAGCCTTCGGTCGCTCAACGCCATGCGATTCAAGCTCGGGCGGGGTTGGCCTTCAGCGTGCACGCGGCATGTCAACCCCAAGTGGGGCAATCCCTTAGGGTGCAATAGAAGCTGCCAGCCCTGATGATTTGCCTATCCTGCCTGAGCTGCTTTCCGATTGAAAGGGGCTGAACACCCCAACACCCCAGGCCTGGACACGGGACTCCAATAGTTGGTTTGGATTGGATCGTTTTGGTGCCTAGGGCGGTGTCCCAAGTACCAGGCCACCAATCCAAACTACCAACTAGCAGGGACCCGTTACCTGCTGATCGGCCCATGCGCAGAGTTTATTTTTGGGGGGGTCTGGATCCAGCCAAAAAAGACATCCCCTTTTAAAACCAAATTGAACAGAGTTACCACTGAAAAACTGGATCTTTTCCTCCCATCCACTCAGTATGGAACCTGACTTGGGAGAAGACTCCGTGACCCACTTTTTCAATGGATTGGCTAGAATAAGTACCCAAACTCTTGTCCAAGCCACCAAAACGGTCCAAACCCAAAAGTGACGAACACCAAATCTCAAGAGGTGAGTTGAAACCGCCTTTCTGGGCCCTTTGCGCCAGGGCCGAAACCCTTGCCCTGCCTGGGCGACAGCCGGTCCTGGAAACCCCAACCAAACGTGGCTGGCATGGCTGCCTGGCTTGTGTCAGGCCCCGACAGCTCGGATCTGTCTTTTTTGGGTTGCTCTAAAGGAAAACCAGATCTTGGGACCACCAATGTTCTCGCTGGCGTTCAGGGAATGAAGGAATGAACCTGGGGATTCCCTTAAAGGACATTATCGGGGATGGTTTACAGGGGTCATTCCATTGCTCATAGATAAACGAAAACCAAAACGGGACCACCAATTGTAGAGCCGATTTTAAGGCACCCCCCTGCTCTTTGGGTTTCCTGTCCCTGGAAGCACCCCGCGGAAAATGGCAGGGCGAGTCGAAAGACAAAGGCCGTTGCATCATATTTGCCCCTCTAAGTAGACTCTACTTGTCAAATGGGTATGGGTCAAAATACCAGCTAGGTCCTCCAGTAGAGAGGTTAGAATAAGGGCACCTTTTTATGTAGTCTATTTTAGTGGGGGGACTCTCCCAAAAAAAGGAAAAGGGCACTACTGGGGCACCTACTTGTCAAATGGGTATGGGTCAGAATACCAGGAATTGCACCGCAGGTGTTCGTCCTTGTTTCCATTTACCAGGGCAAGCCATTTTGGGGCCGATGAGGAGCTGCTGCCTTTGCAGTCGGCTCAGTGCTGAGTTTTGGTGCCTCTGCCAACTGTTGGCTCGTTTCTGAGAGCAGCAACACACCAACTAGGTCCTCCAGTAGAGAGGTTAAACAAGGGTATCCTATTTTTTCAGTAGTCTTTTTAGTAGTACGGGAATCCTTAGGGGAACCCTCTCCCAAAAAAGGGTAAAAGGGCGCTACTGGGGGACCTAGCCAACGTCACGCTCATGTGGGAGGTTGCTGGAGAAAGGGGCATGCCATGCCCAGAAGAGTGATTGCTACGAAAACATGGACCAAAATGGTGGGACAAGATGCTGCACTTGGACCAATGTAAAT